ATGAAGGTAAGTGACCGTTACCCCAAATAGTAATCCGTTACTTTCGTGGCGTTAATTTCAACAATATTATCTTCAATTAAAAAACAAAGGGAAGAGGGTTATTCAAGCTCTTATTGTTGCGGCGGATTATCGGGTATCCTTAATGAAGTCATCAGACCGATCGACTAAAGTTCTCCATTTTTGAAGTCACAAAGCTGTAGAAGTCATCACACGTCTAGCCAAAACTAGAACAAGAATTGAGTTATGTCCATCTTACTATACCCACATATATTGAGCGATAATAGCAAAACATAGTTGTAACAGTAAGGTGATAATTAAAGGGGCCCTCCGGAGCGTTCTGCGATGGTCTATTTATGGCGGTAACTCAATCTGCGGGCCCTAAGGATCCTAAAAATCATAAAATTACGGTCATGCGCGGCGGATTTTCCTACCAAAATTGCTATCAAAGTCCCCGGCACGCCCCCCTTTCTGAGATGACCCCGGAAAAAGGGAGGGGCATCTCTTTACGCGTCAGCCAATAGCAAGCGAAGGATCCCGGCGTCACTGCGCGTCACCAACGCCGCCGACCGCCGACCCGCGGAGGAATCTCTCGAACACGCGCTGACCGTCGTCAAGGGACCCGGACTTTGTGCTCGGCAGTCGTCGTTCGTCGTACCGCACCGTCGCGCTGCTACTGCAATACGCAGTCGCATTCCACAGATGACAAGGAAAAGTTTGACTCGTTGACGTGGAAGGATCGCAAAGCTGGCTTCGGAGTCGGGATCCACGGGAAGAAGGAACATGTGTCCCGCAAACGCACGCCTGCAGACGCCCCGGGAAGCAGACGAGCCGACGCGCCGACGCATCACCCCCTAGCAACAAGCTTGCGGGGAGAAAACATAGTTCGCTAGTTTTGGAGCGATAATTGCGGACTATGTTTTCCGCACCACAATCAGTTTACGTTTTTCTCAAACTCTAATTTACAACAAGCTTAAAAAGTGTTGCAATAATAACGTTCGCATTCACCGCGAGACGCAGCATTTCCATTGGTCAAGTTTTAGCGATGGGCAGGGAATGGGGGACTGTCTTCCAAGAGAAAATAGTCCTGATATGTTTCTTCTGCCATCTGGTTAATAAACGGTTTTGTTATCTAAAACTTTGTATACATATTAACTTGCACCTACTACGCAACATAACAACATAAACAGACGATCGCAGAAAGCTCCGGAGGGCCCCTTTAAATAGAAAGTAAGGTTTGGCTCGATATTCTTTTTTCTTTTGATCTGAACAGGTCGAGCCTTGGTTGAGACGTTGGTGAATAAAAAAAGTTTCCAGTAAATAAATATAAGTAATCGAAAAACAAGGACACTCATAACAACAATTACTTAGAACGTCGGTTTAAAAAAAATTAAATGTAAACGCACGTTTGCCGTGAGTACCTTTCTTGGTCCCGTTCAAAAACACACGGTGCACAAATCGACTGCAGTTTACTCCGGTGTTCTCCAGATAGATGTCCGCTGATGCCACAAGCACCGAAGGGCAGAGTCCTAAGTAAGCCGCGCTATGGTCCCACTTTCGAGTTCCACTCTCTCCCCAAGCCCAGAATACCATTAAGTCTACGTCAGCCACTATTATGTTCATTCGTAAAAATATCTGCTTCAGATAAGATGCGTCCTGCTAAGGGAAAAGCAGGAAGAAGAATAAAAGGAGACAATTACAATTTTCAAAGTGCTCGCAAAAAGCTGACTCACAAAGAGTGTGACCGAGATGCAGATAACCTGGCTGGAATTCAAAAATAAAGTGGGCCAACCCTAGAAGTTGGACTACCATAAAGTAAGTAGCTTTTAAAACAGGGTAAAATAAGGTGAAAGAAACAGAAAAAAAATACATCCTGTTTTCGAGAAGATGATAAGTGTGCAGTAACGAACGAAGATGCTTGTGGCAATAGCACCTTTACATATTATCACATCTCTTTTAGTGAATTTTAGTGTATACGGAGCGTTGTCTGGTGTTGTGACATAATGAAAATGATCGTAGTCATTATACATAGGCTGCACGTGACGTCATTCAAAGAGCGCTCCGATGACCACCAGAGACGAGGGCAAGAAGGAGCTCCCCTCTTATCAGGACCCTCTTTTGTGCCTCCCGGATATGCACGGACGTCGCTATTCTCCTCCCAGAAGATTATAAAAGATTGAGCCGTCACTCAAAATTCTTACAAAAGCAGCGTCCTTCTCCTCCTCTTACATGGTGGTCAAAAGAATGCGGTGTGACGTCAGTGGAACCCATGCATAAACGAGAAGAACATTGTGAATTCTTGTCTGTGCACTTGCCGTCTGGAGCTTCTTGAAGAGGTACACAATCACTTCGCGTCCTCTTCTCCCCGTTTTCGATCACAAGAAAGAAAAGGACTTTGTCGTTAGGGTCTAAAGAAATAGATTCAGGGAATTGGTGTGGCAAACAAAAAAAAGGCTTTGCGGAAATGAAGGGTGCCAAGCTTCCCGTTGGGTGTGACAGTGTCACTGCGCTCGACTTTACCGAAATAAAAATAACCCTTCCTTCAGAAAGGGGGGGTGGTCTTAAAAAAAGTAACAGATTACAAGGAATCCGTTACGTAAAAAATGTAAGGGAATTATTTTAAAATTACTCTAGAAAATATGTAATTATTCAGCTACTAATTTACTGATAAATGTAAGGGATTACAAGTAATTTCGTTACTTGTAACTGATTACGTACAAGTCTGGGATACTCAAACTCTTATCCTCGCTGGGCTCTCATAACTGCTTTCACGTGTCAAAAAAGAGAAGCCTTATTGGTATTCATTTACAATTGTATTTAATGTACGAAATATCAGTAGCGTGTTTTCTGGTCGCACCTTTGTAAAGTTGCACGCCCCGCTAATAGGCTGTTAAACGAAAAGTTGGTGTGTAAGTTGCATCTTTGTATAAGACGCACCTATACCCTATATTTGTATGATCGGCGCGGCTGCACTGCGTTGATAAGCCCGTATATGTATGTTTTGATTGCAATATATCCGCAAGCTATTGCAAGTTTTAATATTCTCGTCCACAAATTGAGCCAGAAATATAACCCCCATGAAAACCTTTCGTGGGTGAAGTTCTACTTGTAGGGGAAAAGATCAAATACTGTAGAACTCTAATGTTCGCGAGGCTTTAAGTTTCGCGAATTTCACGAATTGAAAAATTCGCAAAATATAGGGCACGCTAAATTTCAGTCCTAAAGAGTTTCAATGCAGGCTTCTGGACTTCGAGAAATTTAGTGGCCGCGATTGTGTCGTCGGTGACGAATTCGCGAAAAATAGGAGCCACGACAATAAAAAAGCAATTTACAGTATATTGCACGATTGAATAAGACGCAGCGACGAAAATTTCGGAAAAAAAACTCTACGTATGGGTACATCGGGAAATGTGGTATTTTAATAGAATAAATAAATACATCGAGTATTATGTAGGTAATTAGGAAAAATTCTCAAAATATTTTAATTGTGCATTTTAAATATTTGAAATGGGCCTTACTTATATCGAATTAGAAATACACACATAAGAGGTATTTTAAATACGTTTACATCTTTGTTCTTGTAGCAAGATTTTAAATGTTCCACATCTTTGACTAAGGGGAGATCGAGTTTAAAATTATGTTAAAGGAAACCTTAAATTGGGGAATCAAATTAAATGTTCCTGGATCTATTACGATATCCGCCCTTTGTATTGCAACATTTTAACTAGATTTAATATGAATGGTCGAGCATGGTCATAAGATATTTTTATACTTAACTCGCAGTGCTGGTAAGACATGATTATTCATACAACATTTTGTCATTAGGACTATGATTCAAGAAACATGAATTCGGAGCACGTACGAAGTTTTACTTGGTCGACATTTTGTGTGAATTACGAAATTAATAAAAATATCGAGCTCGGTGGGAGTCGCACCTTACTACAGGAAGGTAGAGCTTGGAAGGACTTTAAGAAAATCACCCTGGTGTACGCTGGTCACGTTTTTGGATAGGTAGTTTGAGCTTCGACCCATTTGGTCCATTTGCTCATGGTGACGCTTGCTAAATAATTAAACCTAAGTACCACAACTATTGAGGCTAACGATTGTGCAATTCTTCGCCTGAAGAGTGGTGTTGCTTTTGTTTGACGTGGCCGAAATGTTGCTTACGCAAGTTTTGTTACATAACAAAACTTGCGTAAGCAATATTTGTTGCCCGTTTCATTCTACAATTAGCGATGCCCATTTTTTTAGATTTTACCATCTTCTTTAGGCTTAAAATATAAGGTGTTTGATGTATTTGCGAAAAAAACTAAAAAGAGAGTACTGGAACATGAGCAACAGAACTTTTGAGGCTAACAATTATTTAAAAAAAATTGCGTAAACAGCATTTGCATTTGTTGGATACTCATACTAATTTTAGATAACTAAATTCTTTTACTTTTTTATCATCATATTGGGGCTCAGAATTATTTGACTTTTTTATGCAGTAGAAAAAAAAATCAGCAATCGGTATGTCGTAAAAAAGAACACTCAAGGCTCACGTTTATTAAAACTTACTGAACTTACACTTTCTCAGAATGTCCCAAATCGAGAAGGGAACTTCGTCGAATAGAGCCAGGCATTCCGAAAATTCTACTCAGATGATAAATCTTACGTTAACCATGAAAAAAAATGTAAAATTTCGCGCAATAACGGGATTCAGGTAAAAAAAAAATTGTTTTCCTACACAGAAAGCGGAACAATAGTCATGGTTAATTTTGAACTAACTCCTTGCGAAAGAACCGGATAATGTTTGGTGGCGGGTTGTGATAATCGTCATAGGCTATATTTGTTCTTGAATGTATTTATTACACCTACAGCGCCACTGTGGAGCGTTTTCGTAGGGGAGTATACATAATAAATCTTATATATGAAGCGTATCTATGCAACATAATAAACGAAAACAAAACAAACATGAAAAGTTTGGTGACGTAGTCGAATTATCACTGCAGCAAAGTAATACCATGAAGAAAAAAACTAGCAATACAGCCCTTGTAAAGGGAGTGAAAGAAATAAGAAAAAAAGACAACAATAAGAATAGTAAGTGCGGACATTTTTTTACGAAATTAAGGTATGTAGTGTTCTAAATAAAAAGTTGGATGTGCAAGGCAATTTCGGCTGGCAAGTTTGCAAGTATAAACTGTCCGCGAGAAACGAAAAAAAAGAGCGTTATTTTTGGAAACTGCAGTAAATAATTAAAACACTTTCCAATGCTAGTTTTATATATATAAAGAGAACGTAAATCTTGCTCCCAGTATGGCATTTTAGTTTTCCTGTGAGCATACTTAACCAAACATATTGAAACAAGTTTCAAAAATAGTGATTGCATTGCGTATAAATATATATATTTTACTGCAGAGCTTCATTGCTGTCAAGTGAGTAAAAGGTTCAGCGGTACATACCACCGTAACGACCCAGATCCGAGCTTCCCAGCCCGTCGTGACAATTTCACAAACTACCTATTGTTTGGAAGTGCTCGAATCTTCTTTGGACTGGCCTCAATTACAGTGCCTGGGCGAAAGATATGTGCCACGCACCCCACCTTCACCCACCCCCCTCCAAAAAAAAACTATATAATAATAATATAAATAATAATAATAATAATAATAATAATAAACTATAGCAAAAGTACAAAGCTGGACTGAGGACCGAGCCTCTACAAATGATACGTCAACTCGTATAGTTAATGTCAATGAAAGTAAATACAAAGGAATCGTTTTTTGGTGGCACATTATGGACGTCGCAATAAAACGCCCTTTATCGACCGACACGCTGTTTACAAAAAAGACAGTCTTTGCGCGTGGGCGGAAACAAAATTCGCGTAAAGGGTTTGCGCATGCGCCGCTCCGACAACAGCGCCGCCGCAGCAGCGCCCTTCTTTTTCCCGCGTGCCGTTTGTTAGTGGCTAGGTTTCAGTGCATGGTGCCAGAAACGCGTCTACGAATGGTGGTGTGTCTAGCCTCCTTATTCCGCCCGGAACGACTCAAAAGTGGTCCCGAAGCGACACGAAATGACGTCCCAAAAGTCGAATGCCTTGCTTTCGTATGTCGCGATCCTGGTGGTATCTAATCGCAGAAGTTCCCTCGAAAAGCACGAGCAGTGTCCACGGCCAACTTTCTGGGACATTGCGTGGACGAAAAGAGTTTGCTTTGAAATATTGAAATTCTATTTTATTTCCGTTCAACGATACCCAGGCAATCACAGTCCCGTAGGATCCAGTGCAAAAAATGTTTAGAGCCTTGGAATAAAAAATTTTACTCGTCGAAACGTTTAATTACTAGTTATTTACATTTTATGACAGTCGTCTTAAATATTCAGAACGAACATTGGGATGTTTGTTGCCGTGCAGAAATTCCCGTTATCTTGATGAGCCGACGCCGTTGGCGTTTAGAAAAAGTTAGGGACGCGGCTGTCGCCACGGCGACCCAACTCTTGGCTGACGAAGCTGACGAAACCACTGTCAAGCAGGAGAACTCGACCTGCAGAGGAACGGGCGTCTGCCACATGCACTACCGCCGACGTTACGCCGCCAAGGTCGCGGCCGGCGACAGCGTAACTCTTGTTTGACGTCATCGGGTACAAATCGAGGGACCACTTTTTTCGGACGGCTTAAACGCACCAGTTCGAGAGAATGCGAGTGTGCAGGCGAGCTGGTTTAGAACGGACATTTTTAACCCCGAAGAGTGGGTAAACAGAGGAAGAAAACACAAATCCTGTCGGTTGGTTTCCCCGGTCCAAGGGTTAAAAATGCCAGTGTGGAGACGCGTTTAAGGCACCCGAGTTTCGCACCGGATGCCGGGGTGTGCATCCACCCCTTACCTTGTAAGATCGTCGTGGCACCTGATGTCCCAGCGTCGTATAACGTCACAATGGGCCATGACGTCAGGGTGTAACCTGACGTTTAGAGAAGAAATTTATCCGCCGCGACGCTAACACTAGTAGCAAATGTATCCGATAAATATAGCGGGAAATTTATTTTAGCTATATTTATCGGATAAATGCACGCTTGCGTGGAGTATGATCTTGAGGCGTCTGTGAGCAGCAGAGTGTGCAGCGACTGGGTTGACCACAGCTAGGAACCTGCCGTTTTGTTTTACCCCGTCGTGTTATGCCACCTGGCAACAGGCTCAGTTATGTCTCTCGTGAGCGTAACATCTAATTTGAGGGTGCCTATTTTACGTCGCCATCGGGGCTAGGAAAACTTTGAATGGGCTATCATCACAAGTGGAAGTTTTGATCCAATGTATATAAAAAGAAGGTTGGCCTTAAACAGATACTACAAAGAAATGTCGGCTCTTATTTTTCGTCTATATATACGCATTCAAAGGAGCAGTATCACATCTGACACACCAAAACCTTGTTAAAAAGACACGAAAAGGAATTTTAAGCCGAATTAAACGATTATCAAAAGGCACCTGGTGGATGTCGCTGAAACCTCACTTGTAATCTCCGTCTAGAAACTGTTGTATCTAGGAGAACCGGGGTTGTCTTGGCCGCCTCGTCTGATGACGAGGACTTACGTGCTTGGGCTACCTGGCGTCGGTCATGGCGTAGTTCAAAGCTGGGACCTGCCGGTGCAGAAAACTACGTCTCTCTCAGTCGGGCTCAGAACAAGATTGCTTCGTCTTTCAGTTTCTCTGGTATCCCATGCACAGGATTGACGGCTCCTATCACGAGCTCGCCCCCCACACGCTCGATACGGTAAATTTTAATCACAGCAGGAACCTTGACGGGTAGTTATGATAACTGTCTCGTGTAAAGCAAGGCACCCTTTCCCCAAGGGCTCAGCCATCTCGAATGTCTTCACTTCTGGTACGCTGTAAAACATTTTTTAAATCTCTCCACGCCGGTGGAAGGTGTTTACGAAACATGAGTAATCGTCACCCAGTTTTGTTTTGCCTCAAATATATTTTCTCGCCTATTCCAGGTTAAAATATTTTATTATTTTTTTCGTCCCGCATACCACATACGGAGCCCACGTAGTTGAGAAAGACAGGAAGCAGAAAACGTCTATAAATCCTTTGAACCTGACGTCATCCGACAGCTCTACGACCAGCACAAGAAAAGAGGGGAGGTAGGAACTCACCGCTCAACGGGGCTCTCTTGTGTGCGTCCCAGACATCGCGATTCTTCCTTTACTGGGTTATAGAAGATTAACTTATCACTCGAAATTCACACAAAAGCAGCTTGCTTCAACCGCTTCGGTGGCTGAAACGGCTACGGCATCTTTACGACATCAGCCTCGCCGCAGCTTTGCTCATTCCGTCACGATTACGCCGGATGTGACGTCCCGTACGAAAATGTCATATATGGCCCTGATATACTTTTTATATAGCCATATATGATAATATAAGGAGTCGAGTATGGCCATATACCGCCATGTATGGGAGCAAATACGGGCAAGTATCCTCATATAAGTGGAAAAATACTGTCGCATATGGCCATACAAGTACGTAAATACGGCCATATATCGCCATATACGAGTCCAAATAAGGTCGTATATCGCAGAATAAAAGTTTAAATACTGGCATATGTCGCGGTATAAAATGCCAAATGCTGCCTTATATAGCGAAGGGGTAAAAATATATCCCCTGATATTGACATATAGGCCCGTTTCGGTCATGCAAACGAAAAGTCACATCTACTCGCGAAGACACTAGTTCATTTATATGTATTGTAATTAATTAACTATTGTTAACGTACGTCCTTAAAGTGAATTCATTCCAGGTATTTGGACCAATTAATCAATTGCGCATTTTGAAGATTGAAACACAAATGAAATTTGGTTCTATGTTTGACGTGTGACAATATGACGAAGTCCATAAGATCGGAAAGCGAGTTAGTCAAATAATAGTTTTTAGATCGCAGCTCTTAGGCGCCCGTTTCCGCGTTAAGTGGTGTCGGCATCGCCGTCGACATTGGTGTAACCGTCCCGATAAATGTAGCCGGAAATTGAATTGGTATTTATGTCACGTGACGTATATTTTCCTCTCTAAATGTAGCAGTGAAACTAATTTTGTTTATGTTTCCTCGCTAAATTTAGCGGGGAAGCATGAACCGTTAGCTTACTGAAGATGCAAGACGCAACTTTGTCGTCGCGAATCCTTTTCCCTTCGAACGGCTGCGCAGCCGTTGCGCCCCGAGTACGTACCCTACTCAGCATCTTTCAAAAACCGTTCGCGGAGCATCGCAACCTTCGTTTGCGAGCGTCGGCGATTCATCGTATGGTAAAGTCGGAAGGTGTGCTGTCCGTGGTGTTTTTTATATGTAACTCTTTCGTAAAAAATCGAATTTTAGAAACGCGAACCTAACAGTGTATACATAATTTTAAATTTATTAGTAATATATATATATATTTATTTATTTGTGGATATTGTGAGCAAAAAATAGTCGTGTTTAGTTTTTCATTTAAAATTATAATATGGGTTATATGGCGTAAAATATAGTATCGTCAAACTTGCATCCTTTTGGGTCACTTTTGGGCCGGACAGCTCCTTTGGAAGTTCAAAAGCTGGACTTCATAGAGGTGTATGTTCACTCGGTATTGACAGCAGGGTAGACGCTATCCGTGTCTCATGCCAATCGTATTCGTGGTTAGGGTCACGTGACTACAGTCTTGAAGCTGGTGATAATGCAGAACAGGGCACCTGCCTGAAGCCCAAGGCCACACATAGCACTCATTGCACTATCAACCTTGGGTACAACTGACAAATCCTCTCGTTGTGGTCATCGTTGGGATGACCCAGAAGATAAGCCTTTTGTGTGTGCACTCCCGTTTTAACCTTTCCTTTTGTCCTTTTCTCTCTCTCCCTAGGCTAAAAAGCTTGGAAGAAGGTGCACACTTGCCGAACCAATCAGCCGTAGACTTTTTATCGCTTGACTCCGCTTTTTGTGCGCGGGAAATGGCAAAATCGTGGTTGCGCAATGTGACGCATGACGCATTAGCCGTTGGCAATCTCGGAAAGCCTGCTTTCGGACCTAATTTGCCGTTTGGTGCGCCCTGTGTGGCTGCTGCGGATTCTGCTTCTGTAGTAAATGAT